GTCGATATAATCTGGAAGCCTGTCCATGTCTCAGTCACCTAATAGCGCAGTCATTAAACAATTGAATGCAGCGCTTTTATCATCCCAGTCGAAGAATTTGAAAGAATGAAAGATAACTCAATGACAAAATACACACACACAAAAACCTCGTTACTAGACTTTTTCACATGAATTCGACAAGACGACCAACAAAAATTCAGGGAATCGAATTCCCGAACCTGGATTATAAGCACAGCGCTAATGAAAGCTCCTTGGATCTTGAAAGCTTTCCCTTTCCGTCTCTCTCATGCTGACCACGACGAAAGCACATGAAAACATGCGTCATTCATCAACAATCCCTTCGCTTGATCAAATTCAAAATGGAACGCAAGAGCATAGAAACCGTTTCCCCCGCGTCAAAGGAACAAATCGAGTTCCTCAGCTCGTTCAACGTCCGCTCCTCGTACGACTTGAACGCGTCTTGAATATTCAATTCTTCGTACACTTGCTTCACTTTCCCGACGCACTCGGTCGATTTCTGTCCATAATTCTCCTCGAGGATCTGTTTTTGAGCCTGGTCAGCAATCTCTAGCGCCTTGACCAGCAGCCAAGTGCATTTCCCGTCTTGAATGTCAGTACCGACCTTTCCCGTTACAGACACGTCACCGTAACAGTCCAAGTAGTCGTCTTGCGTCTGGAAGTATTCGCCAATGCGAAGAAGCACCTTCCCGACAGCAGCAATAAGCTCAGAATCGTCTTCTCCTGCCAACAGCATCCCGCTGATCATGGGACAATGAAAACTATAATACGCCGTTTTATAAACTATGATTTTTCGGTAGCGATCCATCGTGCACTGATCCAAAATGCGAGATCCCCGTTCCAGCTCAGAGATTCCATCTAAGCACTGCCCCGCAATTGTCTTCAACCTTGTTTCCTGCACAATCAAAGCAATCGTCGAGAATTTAATTGAGAACTCCCCTAATTTTCCTGAAGAACAATAAATCATTGCTTCCTAGGTCAACAGAATGCAACCAGAAAATTCATGTAAACGGAATAAAAGACGAAATAACTTGAATTAAAAGTTGATAACGAAAGTAATTGGCAAAATAGCGCCCGTCGTTTAGAATTCGCGGTGAAGTTACTTATCTGAAAAATCAAAAGTATGCGATTCAAAGGCACTAGAAATACATTTAATTGAGAACTCCCCTAATTTTCCTGCAGGACAAGAAATCATTTCTTCCTAGGTCAACAGAATGCAACCAGAAAATTCATGCAAACGGAATAAAATACGAAATAACTTGATTTAAAAGTTGATAACGAAAGTAATTGGCAAAATAGCGTCCGTCGTTTAAAATTCGCGGCGAGGTTACTCACCTGAAAAATCAAAAGTACGTGATTCAAAGGCGATAGAAATACATTATGAATGCCCACACAGCAGGATATCGTCGCAACGAATTATTGCTTGAAAAATTTGATTTTCTGAACCTGGTCATTAGCCAAGACATTCTTTTGATTTATTCATACGGAATTTTTCTTCTCTACGCAATTTTTCAGGTCACAGACGCTTCTTTGTAACGAGATTTTACTGCACTTCGTTATGAAAAGCCTTCAGAATACTGTAACGAGTGTAACCTAACCAAACTCATTGTCTTAGAGAGAGAGAGAAACTGTTGTGCACATGTGGCTCTTTCATGCTTTTTTTTTTTTTTTTCTTGCTGATCATTTTCGGACTCGCTCAACTGTTGGGTCACGGATCAAATTACCAAATTACCTGAAAAAGTTCCCAAATCTTTAAAAAATTCCGGCTCGCGTAACAATGGTTTTTCAACAGGTCGTAGATGATACACTCAAGCATGGAAGCGTCGTTCACAGCCATCATGCCGACACCGTCGACGCGATACCAACACGGCTTATTCCTCCGCGTTTCCGACTTGTCCATAATATCGTCTTCCACAAGAAACGACGACTGAAGCATTTCCAGGCCAAATCCCAAGGCAGCTGCTCCACGACGTCGCTCCTCCGTCAGCTCACCTGCCTTTTCAAATTCGACTCATTCGTCAAAACATGAGGTCATCGTAAGAATATGAAGTCGAGAGTTGGATTTAAACGTAGGTATGCGAAAAAAAAATTACACGTAAAGATATAAAATTTGACATCTGGCATTCCCGAGAAAAAAAAATACAGTACCAACAAAAAAAAAAGCGTAGGCGACGCATAGTTCAAGCATTCGATTTGTAACTTAAAATGAAACCAATTTTTTTTTCGAAGTATGATGCTACGGAGAAATTTGGCTTTCCATTTCATAGTCAATCACTAAATACAGTAGTTTTACAGTAGAGGAGTAGCTCCGTTAATTTTGAGTTATTCCACGTTACACTTTTTTCCTTCCACGTTGTGATTTCTAGATGAATTGAATATACTGTACTGTACTGAAGTTCATTCGGGAGTGAAAGCTGAAACTAATAATTAATAGAAAACATTGAGAATTAATCACCTCCAGGCAGTCTCCTTTGCGTTGTGCAAAAATCTCGCAAAAATTATATCCAGATGTAAGAAAGACGTACCCCACGCAAGTAAAGATGTGAAGAAATTTTTTTGATTTTGACGTAATATTCAAAAGTTACCTTCTTCAAGTTTTTATGAAACTTGAATTTCTCATAGAAGTCTTTATAAATTCATCCTTGCAAAATTAGCTCAAAGTAAGTTGACAAGGAAAACACAGGGTCAGCATTCGAAGACTTTCTCTCTTTTCTGATAAGGTAACACAGGTCAAATATGCGATCAACCCTCGATTCTGCTTCCCACCGGAAATGTTGTGTGAAAATACTCTTCGCCACCATTCGCAAACCTGCAGATCGATGAAAATTGAAGACAGACCATTTAGAATTAACATCTAAAAGTAAAATAAAAGTCACAGAAGAATTCGATGGCTACACTTCTAATCCAAAATTCATCGAAAAAGGTTGTCACAGCCTTGAGGAAAAGTGCCTCTACGGAATTTAATTCTTATACTGCAGTCGTACATCGTGTGACTATACCAAATATGTATCAAAGTATGACGTGAATGTGCCATACGTCCATTTTCAAATCGGTATGCATTGCTGAAACGATGCATCAGGATCAGACCCAGCTCATCAAGGTTTTCGAGAAATTTCAGTCTGAATGAAACTTTTCACCAACGTCAGAAATTTGTAGATGATAATTTTTTTCAATAACCATAAAGACAATATCAACTAAGCAAATGAAAAGTCTATAATAAAATAAACCCAACCTCCGGGAGATCTGTTGCAATTTTTGGTAACGTCACANAACTAAGCAAATGAAAAGTCTATAATAAAATAAACCCAACCTCCGGGAGATCTGTTGCAATTTTTGGTAACGTCACAAGTTCCTCAACGAAACCTTCCCGAAAACCCAGGAACTCTCGTCGTTTGGCATCGACCTCTTCTTTTTTCAGTGCAACCCTCGCCATTTCCACTACTCGTCTCAAGACTGGAGCGTGAAAAAATCGACGACCTGCCGACATACAAATCAAGACCGAAACATCAGGAGAGAATCATTAAACAACAGCCAACGAATTATGGATCTTCAACGGAAAATTTAATCCAAGAATGTTTTAGGTGCGTTGCGTAATACTGTACTGTATCTAATAAATTAGCAGCAAATATTGTACAGCCCAAATTGCCAATGCCATAAACAATCTACGATTGTTCTTCGATGGATTGAAAATATAATAATAGCACCGAGAGATTTACGGAGTAATGCCTAAAACGGAGCATACAAAATTAAAACAAAAATCGTGAACAGCAAAAGAAATCGAAAAAAGTTTAGATGGTTTGCATTTTTACTGCATAGCTCGGCTAGAAAATTATAAAACTCAAACTAGTTTTTCGAAAACCTGACACGGAATTTATCGGCAAAAAAGAATCCAACAGAGAACATATCATGAATTTGCAAAGGAAAATTGATCCGATACTGTACATCAAAAACATGACAAATGTTCCATTTTGATATTTAAACAGAATTCAAGTGCGCATCACGTCTTGCCACTCCCACTGATTCCAACAGACTGATGGCAACACCAAAATTCTTTACCTTTTTTATACCCAAAACGCGTCATTGTAGCGATAAGAAGTACCAAGAAATATTTCCGTCCCACGACCTAGGTGACTGATCCCAGTTCCTCACAATAAAATCTCCACAAGAAAAAAATCCTCAAACACAAGTTCGAAAAAAGAACTACAGTATTTCCTCATTAGCATGACGATGCATCTAAATGTAAAAGAGCGTAATAAACACATTACATTTTTGTAAGCTCATCTGGAGTCAACGCCAGACAACTTATTCCGAAAAAAAATAAGACTTCGAAATGCGAACAACGAGGTCGTTTCCCACCAGGGTTTCACGCAGGATAATTTAAAAAAAAGAAGAAAGAAAAACAGGTAAAAATAAAATCCCCGCTTTTCCTATACCAAGCATATTTTTCCAGTCAAACGCTGGAGACAGAGGGGGGAGAGAACCCAGCCGACACCTGCTGAGCGTTCCCGAACAAATCCCCCCCTCAGTGGTCGACGGGGTGACAAACCGGCAGAACCCCAGTCACGACTTATTCAAAACTGAGACAGACTCAGTCGGGGTACCAATAAATCATTCCTGTTGCTTTAGAAAAAAAAATTCCCCTTCAAGAATTAATGCTTTGCACGAGGGACCACAGAGGTGACGTTTTTTCCGGGTTTGAATAAGCAGCAGAAAATTCATACCGCGTTGAAAAGTTTTGCGAAGAAATATTGCG